ATAATATCGCTGATAATCATGATTAACGGCACGACTGGAATGCACGCACATGATATCCTACGCATTATCATTATCATTCGTAAGATCCATTATGAACACAGTATTAATATTTGGTTGAATTGCGTTCTCGCCGGGTCAATGAATGACCCCCATTAAACGCCACGATATCAGAAGTTTCAGATACTGTATCGGATGTTTCCAATCATTTGACAATGTGAGAGTTTAACAAGAAAAGTGAGATCATCCGATGCCACGAGGACGCCACCCGCATGGCGGGGAAAAGCAATGCGCGTGGAAAGTGACGTCACATTTCCCCTGTGATCCTGTGTTTCCCACGTGATGTCATACTCCATCGTGACGTCACTTTCGCCCGTGACGCCATATTGCCCTCCCCTGTGACGTCATATCTCCCTTGTGACGTCCTATTTTTCAAACTCGAAAAAAAAATTATCCCCGGAATATTTTTTTTCATTTTCGGATAATCGAAAATGTCCTCATCAAAAGGCCATAATTTACCGATCCATCAAAAAACAAATCGGGGATACACTCATCGAATGGATATCTGAAACTTCCGTTCATAATAGACCGAACATTCACGCGGTGGCCACGTGCAATTCGCGGAGGTGATGGACTGGGCTCACAGATACATATACAGTGCGGGTAACAAAACACTTGCGCAAATGCAGTATATGTATCCTGTATATCTACTTGCTGAATAAACTAGCAAGTATATACTCATGCATGCCACGCATGAGCCGGGAACAGAATCGATTCGTACGCTCCCGATACGATGCACGTATCTCTGAGCTCAACAATCGATGTAATCGATTCGATTAATCGTTATCTCGCCTAGGGTGTGGGGGAGGCTCCTGGGTTGGCTAGGGAGTCATGAATGCTGGGAGGGGGGGGCTGGCGGGGAAGGTGGTATTGGAGGTTGCGGGGTAGTGTTGAGGGGGGTTCAGAAGGAGGGGGGGGGGGGTATCGAGCAGCCGTGGGGGGAGGGGGGGATATAGAACCCCGTGAGGTCATGACCCCGTAGACCCCCCCCAACGTTACCAGGGGTCGCGATGGTGGGGGCGGGGGGGGGGTGTGTGAGGTCATGATTCGGGGGTTCAAGATTTCCCCGATTCCCCAGATCCCCACTCCCATCGCCACAGAAACCGACACGCCTCAATACAAACACCAGGGACCCCCGATAATAGCAAACCCCCCCCCCCTCCGCTGCCCCCCCCCAAAAGGGGCTCGGGGCCCCTGAGACCCCGGCCAGGGGGCACGAGGGGGTGGGGGGCAGGAGAAAGGGGGGGGGGACAAGATAATCAGGGCGGGGGGGCCCCTGTGGACCTGCATATGCACTGCATATGCTCCATATACACTGTATACATGCGTGTACATATATATCTACGAATAAAACCGATATATACTGTAATGCAGTATGTGTATACTGTATACGCGTGGGTTTCGGTGGAAAAAAAGGATAGGAGACGGAAAGGAAGAAAGGAAAATTAAAAACAGCCCCCCCCCCCCCCCCGCTGGAAATGCTTGTCGCCGAAAAGACGACCCCCGAGATTTGCCCGGCGCAGCGAAAATCGCTTCCCACTCGCACCTGGATGGACACCCACGTGGAAAATCCAGGACGATAAATGTTACTGTGTGTATATATATAGAATATATCATCTCAACGGGCGGACATACCAAGACAAAATATACACCCACACACGCGTACACATACATGCACACGTAATGCTCTCTCACACGTAAAAAAAAAGACAAAGATCCCCCGACTAGCCTTAACAAACTGTTGGGGCAAGTGCTGTTAGCGAGCACCTATGAAGGCCAATACGGCACGCGAGGGGATGGGTGGCCAACACCACGCCCGGCCGCCTTTGTCTCCCTAGTGGCGATGCTCACACATCGCACCAGGTACTCTTTTGAGGCTGAGTCGACCTAGGGGAGGCCCAGGACCGGTTTTAGATCATCGTCACCGGTGTTGGCCGTGAGCGGGAATCCGGGAATCGAACCCGGGTCGCCAGGTTTGTAGCGCAGCGCGCTAACTGCTACACTACCGCTCCCCTCTCACGCATACATACACGCAGACAGACATGCGCGCCTTCAAACATTCACACACACAAACATTCTCAGGTCGTACGCACGTGCACACCTTCAATCGCACACCGTACGTGGAACCACGTGGGAACAGTTGGAGGACACCTCCCGCTCCCCCCCCCACTCTATCTGACTGAATTTAACCCCCTTCGTCAACTTCGTCAACTTCTCTTTCCCTTTAAAAAATATATGTTCCGAGACATCTGGCCAGCCATGGAAGAAGTAGGCAAAATACTCTCTCGATAGGCCTGTCCGTGTTCGATCTCTTTCTAAAAGAAGGGCCTCGCCACCAGCAGTGGCGCGCGCAGGGCAGTTGCAGGGCCTGCGCCTCTGCCCGTGACCCACAACCACCATTCGATTGAGGAACGCGATTGTATATTTGCTCGTCTGTCATTGTTTTGTTGAGCCGCCGTGAACCTAGACGTGACACGCGGTTGGATTATTGTATCGTGAGCCTTAAGAATAGATTAATTGGTTAATCAATCAATGCGTATGTACGTCCCCTTCAATATAATAATAATAATAATACTTTTGTAACGTGCTGCAACCGGACCGCAGTCGCTCACTCTCGAAGAGGAGACACAGAGAGAGAGAGAGAGGACGACTCAAGGAACCAATTTCACCTCCGAGCTCTGCCGCCCTCTATACATGAAGGTGTTATCAGCCAATACACGAGTGTTTACTGTGCGGAAGGAAACTGGAGCGCCCGGTGAAAACTCGCGTTGCATGCGAGGGGGCAACACCCTATCCCACGGGGTCGGCAAACCTGCGGCCCTTTAAAACGACTGGTTTGTGACGTTGCTCACATTGCGGCTCTCGAAATATTGAATTGTTTTCTTTGTAAGCGAATTCGAACAAAAAATGCCACTTCTTGTTATGTTGATTGCCGAGCCCCTGCGTGTATCCCATTCGAATGGGGAGGGGGGGCGGGGACAGATACAAAAAAAATTAGCTCGCACACTTTGCCGCACGTAACTCGTCGTCGACGAGCTTCGGGCAACGCTGTGTGCAGCGATCCACCAAGCCTCGCCACCGCCCCTCCCCCTTTGAGCTGGATGACGGAGCAGCCCACGTGGCACAGGAAAGACCACGTGGCACAGGAAAGGCCACGTGACACAGGAAAGGCCACGTGGCACAGGGAAGGCCACGTGGCACAGCCCGACTGACACGCACGTGGGCGGCGGTGGTGGCGACGACTACGACGGGTGGTGGTATGAATTATCGTTGTTGTTATTGATCGGCATTGTTTACTGTCAAAGATAACACATAGCGTTCATTACGAACGCAATGTTCTCTATATAGCGAGCTATCTATAGAGCTTTGCTCGGGGGCAGATAGAATGTTTATGGAGGAGGGGGGGGGACGCGGTGGTGCTTGACATATTTCTTCGGCAAAATAGGGAATGTGTTTTTGTAATTATGCTCGAGTGCATCAAACTCCTCCAGGCTACAGCGTCTTCCTGTCCCCCCCCCCTCTCACTAGTCATAGTGCCGAGAATGTTAACTACCTCTCTTGGTGCACAGGAGGTCATGGGTGCAATCCCGACCCTGACGCCTGTTGTATATTTGGAGTTTGCGTGTCACTCTCTCTCCCCGTGGTCGCGTGTATTTCTCTCCGGGATCTCCGGTTTTCCCCTCCACATTTTGAATCGCCGTCACGCGTTTAGGCTGCTCTACATTTCCACGTGATAAGCCGCTTCGCTGAGCTGTCATTTGTGATAGCCAGGTCGTTTCGGAAAAATAACTATACAGCTCAGTGGGCCTTCCCTTGTAAAATAAACATAGTTTCGTTTAGTTTAAGCCCCCCCCAATCCACCACCCCCCCCAACTCCCTCACACCCACTGACACTTGTAAATTGGTATCTCAGTCCACACATAGTAAACCCTTCTATAGCCATCAACATGCTGTTGGCGAAAGTGCTGTTGTTAGCGAGCAACCATTACGTCCGAGCACGGCGCACGGCAGGATGGTGCAGGGTAGAACAATTCCCCCCGGGCCCCGGCCGCCTTTGTCTTCCTATAGTTCTGACACTTTACACGTCGCGTAGTTGAATCCGCCGAGAGGGGAGGAGGCCTTCGATTACGATGTTAACTGCGTGAGGGAATCGAACTCAGGCGGCCCTGGTTCGTAGCGCAAGGGCCTCGACCGCTACGCCGCGGCTCCCCGAGAGCTATGCACGCACGAACGCGCAAGCACGCGTGCAAGTACATTTACATCGATCCCCTGTATAGCCTTTAGCAGACTATCGGGGCAAGTGCCGTTGGCGAGAACCGATGAAGGCCGCCACGGCACACGAGGGGGTGGGTAGCCAGCGCCAGGCCCGGCCGCCTTTGTCTTCCTAGTGGCTATGGTTACACATCGCCACTAGGAAACGTATTTGAGGCCGAGTCGACCTAGGGCATGCTCAGTGCCGGGTTCTGTTATCGGTCGTGAGCAGGAATCGAACTGGGCTAGCTGGATGTGTGGCACAGTTGCGCTAACCCGCTGTACTACCGCTCTCCACGAGCTATGCGTACACACGCACACACACACGTACACAACAGCAATCGCACATACACGCAGGCACGCACACACCTTAGGGGCCGCCCATAAATGACGTCACGCGATTTTAGACGATTTTTTTACCCCCCCCCCCCCCGCTCATCACACGGCGTCACAAAAAGTCAGATCCCCCCTCAAATATGACGTCACAAAGCTCTGCCCCCCCCCACCCCAAAACCATATTTCCATTTTGAAAATAAAACATGCTTCAAATCGCTTTAAACTATTGTCATTGTAGTGCGTATTTAATGTGGCGCTGCACTCTGATGTTGTAGGAGAAAACATTTATTAAAAAGTCTATTTAATTAAGTAGAACGTGTTGTCTATATTTATTTAAAGTTGCGCATTTTGATGTGACGTCACATTTCTCAACCCCCCCCCTCGTCACATATCGTCACAAATGTCTGACCCCCCCCCCAGGTGTGTGACGTCATTTGTGGACGGCCCCTTACGTACCAGACAACCACACACCCGCGTGTAGGTGTGCGCGCCCGAGTTTGGGGGGTCGTGCGTCACCGGCACAATCGCCTCTGTAAACGAACACGGTCATAAGAAATGATCAATTACCTGACGTCATAATGGGGGACGGGATAAGGTAATGAAACAATCGGCGTATGACGTCATAGCAACAAAGTTGAACACGGCAATAATATACCTATGACGTCGTCGCAATAGGTTTGAACACGATCATAAATCGTCGACTTACGAGGCCGTTACCAAGAAAGGCTGAAGATGTAATAAATAATCGATGTGTGACGTCATCGTAACAAGGGTTGAACGCGGCAATAAATAATCATGAGTGACGTCACAACAACAGGCGTGAATAATCAAGCTCGGGACCTCATCGTAAAAGGTATGAACGGAGGAATAAATTATCGATGCTATACCGGGGGGGTGGGTGGCCTTGGAGGGGATACGTAATCGATTGATGACGTCAACGCAACGTCACAAAGCTACTTCCCTTTGCTGTTAAAATCTTGAAGGAAGCGCGGGACCCGAGTGAGGGGCACGCGTGATTCATTTGCTCGCAGGGGGGCGGGCGGGGGGGGGGGTGGTGGGGGGTGGTGGGGGGCATCTTTCCCGCAAAAAATCGACGGGAAACTCTCCCTGCCCGCCTGCCCAGCCTGGGCAATTGGATCCGAAGGGGTCGTAATTTGTGCGAAGGCGGAACGAGGTTTTTATTTCTTCCCCCCTCCGCCGAAACGTGATGGAAGAGCCACCGGCTTGCCGTTGCCTCTCTACCCTTTGCCCAAAATTAGCGGCCGTACAAACTAATCCCATAAAATACGGTGGGTGGGGGTCGGGGTGGGGTGGGGCCTGGCGCCTGTGCGTCATTCAGGCCCCGGCCACAACCGTCGAAAGGCAGCAGCATCAATCGCAGCTTCCAACGCGAGGCCCAAAACTGAGGGGCGGGGCGGGGAGAGGTCAAGGGGAGAGGTCAAGGGGAGGGGCAGCGGGGGTCAGCAGGATAGCCCGGGGGTGCGGGCGGGAGGGGGGAAATTCGCGGCTGCCGCTATCAACGCAAATCCACGCTTCATGCAACAGTGAGGAGCGAGCAGCCACGCGGGGGATGGGGGTGGGGGGTCGTTGGCTTGGGGACAGCGTTGGAGGGGGGGGGGGGGGGTAGAGGGAACCCGGGGGTTGACCCGACCCCCTTCGCGAGTTGATGTAAACACCCCGCGTCGAGGCACCGGCAGGCGTCAGCCGTTATGAGCCCCGGGTTCAAGGTCGGAGCGAACTCGCGCCTCGGAATCGCCGACGGTGCCCGCGGCTTCTGCGAATAACAAAAGCGGTGACCCCTTCCATGACCCAGGTCTCCCCGCTTCTCCGGTGGTAGAGGGGGGGGGGGCAATTAATCTCAGTGCCCCCCCCCTCCCACCCGCGCTTAAACAAGCAACTCCAATCACTCACGCGGGGGGAGTGGTGGTGGGGGGGGGGTCCCGATTGATGATCACCAAAAAACGGAGGGGGGGGGGTGGAGGTCCACTCCAGGGCTCCCACCACGGAACACGGAACCCCCTGGCTCTGTGGCCCCCCACTCCCTCCACAAATCCCCCCCCCCCAAACCCCACGCGCCGAGCGAGCCCTCATGGCTTCTGTTGCGCTGAGACGCCTTTCCAGAAGTCCAGGATGTCATGGAGGTCCTCATCCGTGGCGAGCTGAACCTTCATCTTGAGCGCGTGTCCCGCCGCCATATGCTCCTCCTCCACCTTCTTGTGCTGCTGTGGCTGCTGCTGCTGCTGTTGCTGCTGCTGTTGTTGCGGCTTGAATCGGACCCAGATCTTCTGCACGCTCTTAGCCGAGTACTCGGGGCTGGAGTAGTACCCCGAGCGCTGTGAGCGTGGGGACAGCTGACAGTAGCCGCTCCTGGCCTGTTGCTGCGGCTGCTGCTGCTGGTGATGATACTGCTGCAGCTGCTGCTGCTGCTGCTGCAGCTGCTGTTGCTGCTGCAGATTCTGCTGCTGCTGCAAGGGGAGCGCCACCGTGGGGGGCACGGGGACGGCGCAACCGAGGGCGCTCATGACGGGCGCGCGGGGGAGCGGCACTCCCGGCACGAGGCTCGGGGAGCGCAGCCCCAGCGTGCCATGCCGGAGCGCCAGCTGCTGCTGCAGTTTCTGCTGCTGCTGGAGCTGCAGCTGCTGCTGCTGCAGTTGCTGCTGCTGCAGCTGCTGGTGCTGGGTGTACGGGGGTGGCTGCTGCTGCTGCTGCACGGGCCCCGGGTAGGAGTGGCGGTGGCCGTCGGGGCCCTGGGCCTCCAGGCGCGTGGACACGGTGGACGTCACGGAGCCGCCTCGCTGCACGGGGGCGCGGCCGCCTCGGGGGCCCCTGTCGTGGGCCCCCCCCGCCGCCCCCCCCGCCGCCCCCCCCGCGCCCCTCGGCTCCCCGCCGCCACCCTGGGGAGCCCCGTACACGGGATCGCCGCCGCAGTGCGGGCGCCCCCCCACGGGGTGGGGCCCGGGGCGGCGCGGCGAATGCTCGGGCAGGAAGCTCTTTTGTGGCACGGGGCCATAGGTGTCCCTGTAGGAGGAGGAGGACGAGACAGCGATGGCGGCGGTCGGAGGGGGTCCCGGGGCGACCCGTTCCTCGCCCCCCCGCGACGCGCCCGGTGCGGGTGGCCCGGCGGGGGGCTCCAGGCCCACCGGAGGAGCGGTGGCGCCCCGCCTCGGACTTGAGCGCGTCGATGCAGTTGTTGATGATGCGATTGACCTTGTCCACCTCCTTGGCGATGGTGGCGATCTCCGTCACGGAGTCGCGCCTCTCCTCCGCCCCCCGCCGCTTGCCTGTGCCGCCGCCGTCGCGGCCCTCGGCGGGGTCGCCGGTGCCCTCGCCCGTGCGCACCTCCAGGTAGTTGCCCTTGGCGGTGCGGGGCGTGTCGCCCGCCTCCGCCGCCTTCGCGTCGTCCGGCTCGGGCGGGGCGCCCGCGGCGACGACGGGCGGCGGGCGCGTCGGCGTGCCGCTCTCCGACTTGGTGGGCAGCAGCTGGTAGCTGGCACCGCCCGCCTCGGTCCTGCGAGCCCTGGCGCATGTCGGCGAGCGTCTTCTTGAGCGTGGCCGACTTGCTCTGCTGCTGCTGCTGCCGCTCCTCGTGACGCCGCCGCCGCCGCAGGCAGCAGTAGACGGCACCCAGCACGAACGCCATGCCGATGAGGCAGTAGAGGGTGGTCATCACGTAGTGGCGCACCGCCGAGGAGGCGGCCGCGTCCCACCAGCCGCGCGGGCGCGTCTCCACCTCGGCGCACTTGATGTGCTCGCGCCGCCCGCCCTTCATGTACGCCACGCAGAACAGGTAGGTGGTGCCCGGCTGCAGGTCCTTGAGGCTCACCGTCTCGTCCGTCAGGGGCAGGTGCTTGACCACCTCGGAGGCGGTGCCGTTGCCGCGCACCAGCATGTACATCCTGCTGCCCACCCGCGGGATGTGGATGTTGACCACGGCGGACGTAGGCCCCACCGACTGGACGCTCATCCTGGGCAGGGCGCCCTCGACCGTGTACTGGACGTGCACGTGCGGCTCGGGAGCCGGCGTGAACTCTGGCCCCACTGCCGAACCGCAACCGTCGCCTCCTCCGCCGCAGTCGTCCACCGCCAGCACCGTGGCCGGCAGCGGCGACAGCGTGGGCCTGCGCTGCGAGTCGGCCGAGCAGTTTTGCGTGAGCTGCTCGTACGCGCCGCGCTGCTGCCGGTCGTTGCCGCCCAGCAGCGGCAGGAGGCCCGGCTCGCAGGTGGCGCGCGGCTCCCACAGGGGCTGCTGGAAGTGGAGCCAGCGCAGGAAGGGCAGCAGGGTGCAGCCGCAGTGGAAGGGGTTGCCCGACAGGTTGAGCAAGCGCAGCGTGGGCGACCCGTCGAAAACGTGCTCGTCCAGCCAGGCGAGGCGGTTGTCCGAGAGGTCGAGGATGCCCAGCTGGGGGCAGGGCCTTAGGGCCGTGGCGGTCACCACTTCGATGCGGTTTGACTGCAGGTAGAGGCTCTCGAGGCCGGCGAGGCCTCGCAGGAGGCCCTCGTCGAGGCGTGCCACGAGGTTGTGGCTCAGGCGGAGCACCCGGAGGTTCCTCTGTGCCGAGAAGGCTCCGTCCTCGATCGACTCGATGGCGTTGTGCGTGAGGTCGAGGTTCGTGAGGTTCACGAAGCGCCGGAGTGATGCGTGCTGCACGGAGCGGATCTTGTTGTTGTTCAGCTTGATGTCCATGACCGTGCTGTTGATGTGTGGCGGGATCGACTCGTAGGGTGGCTGGTTCTGGCTGCAGATCGCCTGCCACACGAACTCGCGATCGCCCTCCAGGAACCAGCAGTCGGAGCGGCAGGCCGGCGGCACCAGCAGCAGGAGCAGCAGTGGCAGGTGGAGCGGAGGGGACGAGGCCATGGTTGGAGGCTCACTCCTCGATGGCGAGGGGTGGATCCCGCGGGGGGAGGGGGGGGCGGTCACGGGGGTTGCTCCTCACGTCGGCGGTAGCGCGGGCTGCAGGGCAGCCCGAGGGATCATGGCAGGAGTCAGGGACCCGCGAGGGGATGCGCGCTCATCATGCCAGGCCTGGGAAGGAGACACGGTGGGGGCCCAAGCGGTCATCGTTAGGCTCCGGGAACCCCCGAGGCCTCGAACCGGGCACCCCGGGAGACGCGCAACAGGCATCACACACTCACACCCACGGAATCACACCCTCAGTAGTACACTCACAGCATCACAGCCCCACGGGATCACCCAACCACACCCACGGCATCACACCCACAGCATCGCACCCTCAGCATCACCCAATCACACCTACGGCATCACACCCCCATGGGATCACCCAATCACAGCAACGCCATCATACCCTCAGCATCACAACCTCCCAAAGGATCACAGCCACACAACCCCGGCAACGCCTCACGTGGCTTCATCAGCAGTGACAGAGCCTCTGGGTGCGCCATGACCGCGGGACATCGCTCCTCGTTAGCGGCTCATTAACGCGCTCCTGGCTGGCTGGGGGCGCCCTATGCCCCCCATTAACGCGTTCATCAATCACTCCCCTCCCGCATCCCGTTCCACCCCCCCCCCCCTACGACGCCCCCCCCACGCCAACTCCTACCACATCCGCTATCGCCAGTCAAGCAGCCCTGCCCGCTGGGTTCGAGCTTGAACCCAAGGTTCACTGATTAGAATTTATTTGTTATTTATTTGTCCAGGAGAGCCACGCCGAGGTCGTATGACTCTTTTACAGGAGGGTCCTGCTGCGGCTACATTGGGTTTTTTTTTTATAATAGGTTAGATCGCGTAAATATAAATGCATCGTTAAACCTGCCACTAGCTGGCACAGCCAATGAGTGAGGTTTTGTCACGTAAACAAAACGTGCTCAATTAGTGACTCGTTCAGCACAGACCGGTTGTGTGTTGGAGACTACACCCCAAAACTTTTACAATTCGAGCACCCTGACGTTTCGCCGCTAATCGCAAACCCAGCCTCATCAGGCGACAGCCAGGATTGTGGAGAACCCCCGCCCCCCAACTGTTGCCAGGACGAGCGCTGTGTTGTTCCGCACGTGCCCAGGAAACCGAAGAGCCCGTATCAACAACAACAAAAAACCCACGCCTTACGACGGAGGGGGCAACGCTGTATCCCCGTATCCCCCGTACAGATGGCGATAGGGCACCTTCCTCCACGGTCAAGAGGCGAGTTTCACGACGATGGTGCTGGGTTGAGCAGCGTGGGGGACACTCGGCTTGGCTAGGGGTCACGTTACTTTGTTGGGGGGGGGGTCCAGGAAAAGCGGGTTCGGGGGTTTGCTGACGCTGGGTCTACTCGAAAAATAACAACACTCCAAAGGCGTTGCCTCCCCAGCCATAGCCGACCGGTAGTAGTAGTCGTCGTCATAGTTACACTCCGTGTTGGGGTCCTCGTTTGCGGCTGAGTCGACTTAGGGGAGGCCGAAGACTTGCCCGAGAATGTTGGCGGCCACGACCGCCAATAGAACTCGGTTCACCGAGGTTCGTAGCGAAGTTGACATGTACCTCCACGTGCGACTGCGTGTGTGCGCGTGTGCACACCCGAATCTGCGTGCGTCTCTGCGTGTGCGTAGGGGGAGCACTGCGCTACGAATCCGACGAACCCCCCCCCACCCCCCCCCTCCCCGAGTTAGACTCACCGCTCTGGAACCAATGACAGTGGCGAATATTTGCAACGCTTGTGGGCCTCTCCTAGATCGAACCAGCCTCGAAATTAGTAAACTGGTGCGATGTGTAAACATCGGAAGACCCCCCCCCGCCCACCTCCCACGTGTGTCGTGCCGGCCTTCATAGGTGCTCGCTAAGAGCACTTGCCCTATCAGTCTGCCAAGGCTATAACGGGGGGCATTTCTCTCTGTGTGTGTTGTCTGTCCGTTGTGATTTCTGCTCCACAGTGTGTGTTGTTGTCCAGGGTGTATGTGGCGTGCGCTCGCGGAGAATGGCAGGAGCAGGGCGCTTGGTATTGTGATGACATTGGTGGTATGTAGAGTGAGGGAAAAAATTATTTGATCCCCTGCTGATTTTTTACGTTTGCCCACTGACAAAGAAATGATCAGTCTATAATTTTAATGGTAGGTTTATTTGAACAGTGAGAGACAGAATAACAACAAAAATCCAGAAAAACGCATGTCGAAAATGTTATAAATTGATTTGCATTTTAATGAGGGAAATAACTATTTGACCCCTCTGCAAAACATGACTTAGTACTTGGTGGCAAAAACCCTTGTTGGCAATCACAGAGGTCAGACGTTTCTTGTAGTTGGCCACCAGGTTTGCACACATCTCAGGAGGGATTTTGTCCCACTCCTCTTTGCAGATCTCCAAGTCATTAAGGTTTCGAGGCTGACGTTTGGCAACTCGAACCTTCAGCTCCCTCCACAGATTTTCTATGGGAGTAAGGTCTGGAGACTGGCTAGGCCACTCCAGGACCTTAATGTGCTTCTTCTTGAGCCACTCCTTTGTTGCCTTGGCCGTGTGTTTTGGCTCATTGTCATGCTGGAATACCCATCCACGACCCATTTTCAATGCCCTGGCTGAGGGAAGGAGGTTCTCACACAAGATTTGACGGTACATGGCCCCGTCCATCGTCCCTTTGATGCGGTGAAGTTTTCCTGTCCCCTTAGAAAAACACCCCCAAAGCATAATGTTTCCACCTCCATGTTTGACGGTGGGGATGGTATTCTTGGGGTCATAGGCAGCATTCCTCCTCCAAACACGGCGAGTTGAGTTGATGCCAAAGAGCTCCATTTTGGTCTCATCTGACCACAACACTTTCACCCAGTTGTCCTCTGAATCATTCAGATGTTCATTGGCAAACTTCAGACGGGCATGTATATGTGCTTTTTTGAGTGGGGGGGACCTTGCGGGCGCTGCAGGATTTCAGTCCTTCACGGCGTAGTGTGTTACCAATTGTTTTCTTGGTGACTATGGTCCCAGCTGCCTTGAGATCATTGACAAGATCCTCCCGTGTAGTTCTGGGCTGATTCCTCACCGTTCTCATGATCATTGCAACTCCACGAGGTGAGATCTTGCATGGAGCCCCAGGCCGAGGGAGATTGACAGTTATTTTGTGTTTATTCTATTTGCGAATAATCGCACCAATTGTTGTCACCTTCTCACCAAGTTGCTTGGCAATGGTCTTGTAGCCCATTCCAGCCTTGTGTAGGTCTAGAATCTTGTCCCTGACATCCTTGGAGAGCTCTTTGGTCTTGGCCATGGTGGAGAGTTTGGAATCTGATTGATTGATTGATTGCTTCTGTGGAAAGGTGCTTTTTATACAGGTAACAAGCTGAGATTAGGAGCACTCCCTTTAAGAGTGTGCTCCTAATCTCAGCTCGTTACCTGTATAAAAGACACCTGGGAGCCAGAAATCTTTCTGATTGAGAGGGGGTCAAATACTTAATTCCCTCATTAAAATGCAAATCAATTTGACATGCGTTTTTCTGGATTTTGTTGTTATTCTGTCTCTCACTGTTCAAATAGACCTACCATTACAATTCTAGACTGATAATTTCTTTGTCAGTGGGCAAACGTACAAAATCAGCAGGGGATCAAATACTTATTTCCCTCACTGTATGAGCGTTCGCTGAACTTGTTTCGCACCGCACGTGGCCGACCGTGCTACTTTCCCCAACAGTCTGTGAAAGACTATACGGGGGAACTTTATATTGGTTTATATTGAGTTCTGTGTGTCCGCGTGTGCGCGCGCGTGTGTTTTATTGCGGCGTTACGAGGCTTGTTGTGATTGTAGAGAGAAGAGTCTGGATTTTTAATGTGAATCTCGCCACGTATTTTATCCGTAAATGGGGATGTTTATGACTCGTGTTAAATTGCGTCCTTGCAGTGAGACGGAATTTGTGTGGTGCGCGCCGCGCGTGTGTGCGTGTGCGTGAGTGACGGTGTTAGTGTGGAGTTGATGCGTCTGCCAGTCATCTCAGTCAGTCATCTCAGTCAGTTATCTCAGCCAGTCATCTCAGTCAGTTATCTCAGCCAGTCATCTCAGCCAGTCATCTCAGCCAGTCATCTCAGCCAGTCATCTCAGCCAGTCATCTCAGCCAGTCATCTCAGTCAGTCATCTCAGTCAGTCATCTCAGTCATCTCAGTCAGTCAACCCATGGCGCCTGCCTCGGTCCGCTCCGTGACCCCCTGCCAGCGGCGAGCCTTCGACATTTCACGTGGCCTCAAAGTGCACGTAGCCTGGCACAGGCGCCGTAGTGATGACGCCGCCACTTAGTGGTGAACGGCGGTTGTTGCTGTTTGGAGATCGTGGAGAGCGGTGGCGCAGTGGTGAGCGCGCTGCGCTGCAAACCTGACGAACCCGGTTCGATTCCTTGTCCACGGCCAACAGCAGTGACGATTTTCTCAACCGGTCCTGGGTCCCTCCCCTTGGTTGTCTCGGCCTGAAATAAGTACCTTGTGCGGTGTGTAAACAACATCAGCACTGGGCAGAGAGACAAAGGCGGCCGGGCGTGGTTGCTGGCCACCCACCCCCTCATTTGCCGTGCCGACCCTCGTCAACAGGCGCTGGCCAATAACAGCACTTGCCCCTACAGTCTCTTGAGGCTATATGGGAGAGGATCTATGCCTTTGGTGGATAATGATGATAAATCTTTGACTCAACTTCAAACGAGTTCTGTACCTTTGTGCGGTGTGTAAAGTTATATAAACGCACACGCGCCAATTCGCTGTTGACGCGACAACCCTCGCTAATTGGCTGCATCGGGTGGTGGCGGGTTTAACGACACACATTTGTATGTTGGGATCGAACCCAACAAAAAAACTGGATTGCGGATGATATTGGTCGCGAAAGCCTTCGACGTGTCAAACTGTTGACGGTATATTGGTGGTGGTATTTGATGTTTAATCTGCCCCCCCCCCTCGCTGCGTAGCCCCCCCACTCCCCCCCCCTCGCTGCGTAGCCCCCCCACTCCCCCCGCGCTCTCCCCCCCCCCCACCGGCGTCTGACGTCTCCATGGTTACGTGGCGTCCCTTGCGGCACGGAGAGGGCGCTTGCATAAAACATCACCTCACCCCTCACCCCTCACGCCTCACCCCTCACCCTCACCCTCACCCCTCACGCCTCACGCCTCACCCCTCACGCCTCACCCCTCACGCCTCACCCCTCACGCCTCACCCCTCACCCCTCACGCCTCACCCCTCACGCCTCACCCCTCACGCCTCACCCCTCACCCCTCACGCCTCACGCCTCACCCCTCACCCCTCACGCCTCACCCCTCACCCCTCACGCCTCACGCCTCACCCCTCACCCCTCACGCCTCACCCCTCACCCCTCACGCCTCACCCCTCACCCCTCACGCCTCACCCCTCACCCCTCACGCCTCACCCCTCACCCCTCACGCCTCACCCCTCACGCCTCACCCCTCACCCCTCACCCCTCACGCCTCACCCCTCACCCCTCACGCCCTCACCCCTCACGCCTCACCCCTCACGCCTCACCCCTCACCCCTCACGCCTCACCCCTCACCCCTCACCCCTCACGCC